TGCATATTCTGCAATATTGGGACTGTTGGTGAGTCAACAGTGGGTCAGAGGAGGAGCTGCTGTGGGACAGAGATGACAGTTGCTCTTTAAAAATTATGATTTAAATAGAGTTGAATTAAATCAAACCTTTTTACTAGTGATTTTAATCATGATTTTAATCGTGATTTAAATCGACTTGGTTTAAATCAAATCCACCCTGATTAGTTCCAGTAAGGACTATATATTGAGTATGGTTTATCAGCCGGTTACAAATCCATCTGGTGGTGTTCTCCAGCTAGGCTAGAAGGAGGGGCCAAGAGGGACCCAAATTTTGAATCTAAATGACTGTGTGCGGCACAAGCTGGACATCTCCCAGAATCTTTGCAGCCTTATCTTTCTGTTCCCAAAGGAATGCAGGAAGTCTGGCGAGATTCTTGGCTAGCAATAAAACTACAGTTCAGACTCTTCAGGAGTGGTTCTGGTTGCTTCTGCCTCACAGACAAGAAGCAAAACGGATTCCTAAAGTCAGACAAGCCCATGAAGTTTATGCTTTTAAAGATAATAATGTTCCTCTAGTTTTTGCTCATGTCTCTTTTTCAGGAAAATCTTATTAAGCTACTATAATTATTTATAATGTTAATGTTTCAAAGTGTTATCATATTGCTTTTATTTTGTTGTAAGCAGCACATAGAGAGGTGGGTGGCATATAAATTTTAATAAATAAATTGGTTGAATTTGTCTATGTCTTTAGCCCTAGTCAGCATAATAGATTTAAACATATAAGCAGCAGTTTTTCATTAGTTTTTCTTTTTTTGGGGTGGCAGGTATCTCTAGGTTTTGCGTGTCTTTAATTTTAATATATATCCCCATGCTTCCTTTACTGTTTTTTATTGCAAATCTCCTTTTTAAATTTCATTGTATTTTATTCTTGCCCATGCTTTATTTTTTAGGCAAATCTCCCAGGGAATGCTGGAAAGGTTAGATAGCCTCTCCAATCAAACAGTGCAACTTCTGGACTCATGACACCTGCTTGAGGACCAGGTGGCCCTCATGGCTAAAGGGGCTGCTGCACAACTTTAAGTTCTGTGCTGGTTACATCCATGCCTGGATCAAGAGACTGCTCAGGAGACTCATGTGCTGACCACCTCCCAAATGAAGCACTACAAGAGACCGTCTCTTTCTGTTCACAGTTCCCTGTTCCGTCAGGTCCAACGGGAAGAGCCCATGCTAAGGAGTTCCATCTACAGAGTCCCAGGAGGTGAGCCTTTTGTCTCATACCACCTTCCTTTGGAACATCACACACACACACACACACACACACACACACACACACACACACACCAGATGAGATTACAGTAGATCTGACCTTATTGACTTCCAGAGAGATTATAAAACATGTTTTTTCCAACAAGCCTAGGCATCTCCTGGGACCAGGAAGCCCATAAGATGGCTCTACAATGTTTCTCTCTTCTCTCTATATGCATGTGTCTTCTTTTTATTGTTATTCTGAGATGTATTTTTATTGTTTGGCTTTAACCATATACCACCCAGAGTCACATTCATGAGATGGGTGATAAAAACTGATATATAAATGCCAGCCTAATAATAATGTTTTATGCAGAATGGGCTGAACTGCACCAGGATGCAAGCAGATGGTGGCTCTTATAAACCGCTCCAGCATTCCTTCTATTCAGACTGAATCAGCCTTGTTGTTGCCCAGAAGAAAATAAAAATCTAAACAGAGAAAATATTGTTACATAGTACGGCATGTGATAAATCATAAAGCTAGTTGAAGCAAAACACCTACAGGAAAAATGCTGCCTAAAAGCAGAGCACTGAGATCAATCACAAACTGGAGGTCAGAACAAATATAGATGCATTTTCCCAAAATGATGGAGTCATGGAAGAATGTTCCATGCGGCAAACGCAGGGAAGCCCTTGGCTTTGTGGCTCCGTCCTCCGAGCCTATCTTATCGGAGGAAGAAGGCTCCGAACATGAAGGAGAGGAGCCGGTCAGGCCTCCCTCTCCAGGCCCCTCCTCTCTGGCAATGCCTCAGGTGTCTGCTGAGGGAGAGGAGGTTGACCAGGAGCCAGGTGTCTCCGATGACAGCGATGGGGGTGATAAGTCGTTCCTGGATCCACGCCAACGAAGGCGAGATAAACGTTTGCAGCAGATGAGGAGGCGTGCCAGGGATTAAGCTGAGTCACTGAACCACACCCCACAGGCTATATAAGAGAGTGTGGTGGCCATTTAGACTCTGTGATGGACAAAGCTAACTTCTGGCTAGTCACTTTGTACAACGCCAAATCTGCTGAAGGTTTCATGTTTGAGCTGGACTGTTTTGAAAACTGTGTGTATTCGTTGGTGTTATCTGGTGGAGGAACACTCCCTCTTCTTGTAGTAAAGCACTTGGCAGACCGTTATCGTATTGCTGCCAAGTTCCTGATAACGAACCTTGTGTGAGTACTTCTTTAACCTCTGGCTGGCTGTTTGTGTGTGTGGGGGGACGGGGACAGAACATTGGCCTCCAATACTTGCCATCTAAGCAGTCTTACAGAATCTGTAGGCAAAATCTCAAATGCTCTCTTAAAGCTGTAGTAGACTCGTATGGTAAAAGTTTTTCACTTCCCATGATGTGAAGAATCTGTTCCAGAACTGCTCATATAGTAACCTAGTCTGCAAAACAAAATCACACTTTTGAGGCTGCTGCAGGAAATAAAGGAGAGCTAAAGACTGAAACAAAGAAGAGGCTTCTTTCTCTAGCAGACACTTCGCTTCTACCTTCAGCTCAAATGGATCGAGAGGTCCACCTCTCCTATAGCAGCTTTTCACACTTATCTATGGAATCCCAGGTCACTTAAATACAAGAGTAACCATAACAACCTTCATGTAAACTATATTTAGAAAGAATGTCATTGGCACAGTTGATCATGAAATATTGGTTGTGCAGCAATTGGGACTCCTCTGCCTTCTCCTAAGAACAAAGTAAAACAAAACAGAAAAAAAGAGGAAATGAAACAAATTAATTAGCGGATTAACAGAGTTGGAAGGGATTTTATAGGTCACCTAGTCCAATAAATAATAACTGAGCAATCCAGATCAGCATAAAAATAACCCAGTTGCCAGCATTGAAGGTTGTTTCAAAGAAACAGCTAGCACAAGTATTAAAAATGCCAATGCTGTAGTATCAAATATAACCATCAACTCACTGCAAGAAATAAACCAACTGGTGAATAGCACGGCTGCATTTACAACTAAATATGCTGGATGCAAAATCAATGAAGAAAAAAAGTCAAACAATGCACTACCAAAATGAAAGAACAGGTTAGAAAATAAGATCAGCATCTTAAGACCAGATACAAACAAATCAGAAAACATGAAAAAAATGTAGCTGAAAACAAGAAGAGCAAAGAATACCTGATAAAGAAATATCACCTTGAAACAAGGAATATCAAGAAAGCCCTGGAAATAAGGCAGCAAATAACAGCTGTAGCCAACATCAGCAGATATGAAGCTCAAATTGCACACTACAGGCAGAATCTCCAATTTCAGTCAAATCAGAAATGTTTCTACCAATCCATCAAAAAGATTGCAATAAACCAGCCAGCACTTGATGAAATAGAGTAGAGTAGAGTAGAAATCTTTATTGGCCAAGAGTGATAGGACACACAAGGAATTTGTTTCCGGTACAGCTATAGAGTAACCCAAAGAAATGTTCATGGAGATTATCAGTCATCCAGAATTGAACATGCTTGTTGGATGAGAAGTGAAACTATCTTCAAGGAAAAACAAAGTCTAGTTGCTTTTTGAAAAAGTACCTTTGGGACAACCCAAAGAAATACAAGAAGAATGCAGCTTGGATAAAGGAGGTAGATAAGAATAAAAAAGTGAAATGAAAGATGCGAAATTAAATTTGGATCAAACACATAGGCACCTGCCACATAACACACCAGATGTAACAATTGTTGACAAGAAAGAAAGAAAAAGTCTGAATAATGGATTTTGTATCTCGAGACAGCAGAATAGAAAAGAAAGAACTGGAGAAAATTACAAAATACAAAGGTCTGCAAATAGAACAACCATGGCAAAAAAAAATCACCATCAGTCAATTACACAAGGCAACTTCATTTGTAACAGCTTGTGAGGATACCTTTAGGCTACCTTCAAACATCTACCTATTCCAGATCCTTGGGAAGAATAGGTGAATAAAAGTGTTAACAACCAACCATAATATTAATAGGACCAAAATGTTACATTCTATTTAATATATCATTAAGATTAGAACTACATTGTCTTATCTTCAATTCCATTTCAAAATTAATAATGTAGGTCAGTGTTTCTCAACCTTGGCCACTTTAAGATCTGTGGACCTCAACTCCCAGCATGGCTGACTGGGAAATTCTGGGAGCTGAGGTCCACAGATCTTAAAGTGGCCAAAGCTGTGAAACTCTCTTATAGGCGATTATTTGGACAGCTTCATCTTGTGTGCCAGCTATACCCGTTCCTGGATCAGGTATTGGAGGCCCTTCAGTTGGTCCCTCATGACTTATTTGCTTCACAGCTGGATTGTTGCAATGGTTCTACATGGGGCTGCTGTTTAAAGACCTTTTGGAAACTGCAGCTGAATAGGAGCTGTGCTGGTACCCAGGGAGCTTCCAGATGCAATTGAAAGTGCTCGTTATAATTTATGGCACAGGGCCTAGTTATTTGACAGATTATCTTCCATGGTTTCTGTTTATCTGCAAGATTAGATAAAGCCGATGAATTGTAGTCCCATCTATTAAACAATGCCACCTACTGGGAGCCAGGAAGTGTGCCCTTTCTGTCACAATATGCCCCAGAAATCTATTTAGCTCCTACCTTAATAATATTCCACAAGTGCGTAAAAATGTATGTTTCTCCTTGCTGTGACTTAGTCACTGGTGAAATATTCTGTATAATACATAGAGTTTGGTTTGTGCTGATAATCATGATTTCTTTTTTCTACTGTTGTTTCTTTTGTAGTGTTAACACACCCAGAATTACTCCAGAGTTGGGTGGCCTTAAATCAATCAATCAGTAAGTAAGTAAATATGAATACAAACAGACTATAAAATCTTGAAAAGCTGTAAAGCGAAGTATTCATGGACATCTGAATTTATGCTAGGCAAATGTTAATCTTTATTTGCCTTATGTTTCTGAAGTCCCAAGAGTCTGAAAGCTGGTATGGGGACGGTAAAGAAAATCAATTTTCCTTCAGGACAGTTACCTGAAGAAAAGAAGAAGACTGCTCCTTTCAGATTAGCAAAAGCATAAAAGGCTCAGGTAAGGAATATGTTGTTCTTCCAAAAGTACCTTCTGCAGTATTTTCTATAGAGGATTAATTCCAGGAAGATGCTTCAGAGTATTTGGGGCACAAATATAGCGCCTGTTTACAACTATTTAAAGTTTTGCATTTTTTCCTGGAAATCACAAGGAAAAGGGTGATGCTACATGTATCCTCATGTGCTCCAAAGCAGGCTTTCCAAATTATTTCTTAAATTCTACAAAGCCTACTATCTTCACACATCCAATTAAGTCTTGAGGTGTGCTCCAAATTGTAAAACTCAAACAAAATGAATCAGTCTAGTGAGTATTGTGGTTGATTGTTTTCCCTCTAGCTTGTATACAGAAGACACTGGTTGGATTCTGAAAATAACATTTTAAGAACACAAGATGCATTATACTAACATGCAGAGATTTAAAACTAAAGACTAAGAAGTAACACATTCGGTTCATCAAATGGGAAAAACAAACGAATTCTTAGGACCCTTAAATTGTATGCAGGATATGATGATTTACAGATACTATCAATAGCAAATGCAACCTTCCCGAACTTTTCTAACCTGTAATAAGGCAAACATAGATAGGTTTCAGATACTAAGCCTACAATACCTACAAAATGCTTCAGTTTCAAAACAACTGTTGAGGGTGCTAAGCTAAAAATAAAACAATTGTTCCATCCTACCTCTTCTAGCAGCTTCTTTCTCTTTCACCTGAAAAACAAAGACAACTTTCCTTGATGATGTAGTTCAAAATTCAGGAATCGGAAAGAGAGGGGAAGAAAAAGCTTTATTAAAAGCACCTATGCTTATAGTCATTATTCTCCTTTGTATGAGTCCACTAGGAGAAGGGCGGTATACAAATTGAATAAAATAAATAAATAAATAAATAAATAAATAAATAAATAAATAAATAAATAAATAAATAAATAAATAAAGGCAAGGCAAGACATTTAAGCAAGTTACTGATGAAGCTACTGTGGCTTGCTTTAGACATAATGCTAATCTGTAGGAAATGCATTATCACATCACATTAAACCAAAAACAAAGAATGATGCCTTGATTTATATCAGCCAAGCTTCTGTGTGGCAGTGTCTAGGTTGATGCCATCTTTGAGAGACGCTAGGATTAATAGGCTATTCCATTATGCATATCTGGTGTTCCTTGGATTCCCCAAATTCATTGCGCCAGATAAATTTTTCTGTGTGTCTCCGGAGCAAACCACTCTTTTTGCAACAATTCAACTTGGCTTTAAGCTTTATTTAAAACTAATAGAATAGCTGAGTTCCAGCATTACTGCTTTACATTTCAATGGGGCTATGTCCAGAATACTCTCCCTGTGCCTCTGAAATGTAATGTTTATATTAATTTGCAAGTGAAGATTTATTTACTGTTTGAATTTTATGGTTATCTTTGATATTAAACAAGGTTGTGGAATAGAACAGTCTTCAGTTTAACGGTAGAAAAATCAAGTCAACTCTGCTAGCATTTTCAATCTTTACTACCCCCCATCAAATTTAGCCATGCAGATGGGAGCTGTTTTACTCTGCTATTTGTTAGTCTAGTTTAAGGCAGTGGTGAAATCTAAAATTTGTTACTACTGGTTCTGTGGGCGTGGCTTGGTGGGGGGGGTAATGTGACTGGGTGGGTGTGGCCAATTTTTTTTTAACTTTTAAAACCATTTTTTACATGTAAAACCATGTAAAAAATGCTTTCAAAAGGCTCTGACGATCCCAGCTGAGTTGCCTGATTGTCAGAGGTTTTTAAAAAACCCTCTGCCGATCAGGCAACTCAGCTGGGATCGTCAGAGCTTGGCTCGTCAGAGGCATTTAAAAGGAAAAAAAGGCTCTGATGATCACGTGGCTCAGCTGGGCATGGGGGGCGGGGGCAGGGATTTTTGCTACTGGTTCTCCGAACTGCCCGCCACCATCGCTACCTACTCGCCCAAGCCGGTCTGAACCGGGAGCATTTCACCCCTGGTTTAAGGACAAGTAATTGCAGAAAAATACATTAGTGTTAGACACAGGCCTGGAAAGTACTTGGCAACTGACTCCTATTTATGACGGTTTCATGTAAAAACCCCCCTTGATCATGTGATTATTAAGTGAATCTGTCTTTCCCATTGACTTTGCTTCTGACAAGATTCACTTAATAATCATGTTACTAACTTAACAGTTGTAGAGATTCACTTAGCAATCGTGGCAAGGAAAGTCGCAAAAATGGGGCAAAATTCACTTAACTAATGTCTCACTTAGCAACAGAAATTATGGGCTCAGTTGTAATCATAAATGGAGGACTCCCTGTCATTTTGATTTACAGGGAAGGAAAGACAGAAGCAGAGGGAGCTTACACCAGCGACAGTCAAACGGCCTGAAGTCCAACTTCCACCAACAGCCCTCAGAGCTTCCCTGAAAAGAGCAGAGGAAGCAACAGAAGATGCAAAATTATGGATTAAAAGGGCAGATGGGTCTCCAAGAAAAGGGTGCAATAAGAGGATTAGGTCTGCAAGCAGTAAAATCAAAGCATGGGTAGAATGAATCTAAAAAGATGGATAAAGAGGCACCCAAAACATTTCAGAGCAGACTGTAATTTTGTGAAGGAAAGGAAAACAAAACACAGACCACTGAGAAGAAATAATGTCACTGAATATTACAGTTCAGACCTGCAGAATTTGCTTTCAGCCACTCAAAGGAACAATATTTTTTTAAAAGATTGTTTAACGTGATACAAAATGATCACATTTATCCTGTGCAGTTTCTTAGAGCCCTGGTGGCACAGTGGTTAGAATGCAGTATTGCAGGCTAACTTTGCTGACTGTCAGGAGTTCAAACCTGAGGTTAACTCATCCTTCCATCCTTCTGAGGTCAATAAAATGAGGACCCAGATTGATGGAGGCAAGGATGCTGACTCTGTAAACCGCTCAGACAGACCAGTAAAACACAATGAAGCAGTATATAAGTCTAAGTGCTACTGCTATTTTCTACAGGTGATCCTCAATGCCCAACCACTCACTGACTGTATGAATGAAGTTAGGACTGAACAAGGGGGACCTATGAGAGATCCTCAAAGTTGTAGCCACTGCAGTGTCCCTGCGTCATGGGATCGTGATTCAGATACTTGGCAACCAGCTCACAATTACAACGTCTCATGGTCACATGACTGCTATTTGTGATCTTCACTGGTGGCTTTGACAAGCAGAGTCAGTGGGGAAGTAGGCAGGAACTTATAAATGACAATCGCCTGATAGTAGGATACCTAGCAATGGCAACTGGGACTGCCACAATTGCCATAAATTGGTGCAGTCACATGACATTATGCTCTACGACTGCAGCACTCAGTGAGGGAGATGTCAGTCCCAAACCACCAGAGTTAAGCAAAGACTACATGTGCTGTCAAAACTGAGATTCACAACTCTTCACCACATGGGATTTGGGCTTCAAGATGACATGGAAGAAACATGACTTTGTTTTGTGAAGAAGCTAATCTGGGATTTGGCAGCTCAAATGCAAGAAAAGCAACCAGAAAATAAGAACCACGAGGCTGGATCAGACCAAAGACCATCTAGTCAAAGCGTATTTATTAAGTGGCATCGGCTGTTCTCCAGAAAGCCTAGAACCTGAAACCCAAGAAGAATTCCCCACTTGAATACCCTAGTAATACCTCACACAAAAGAGTTATCCACGTTCTTTCTTTATCCAATGAATACATACCCGTATCTTTCCTTCTCTCCATCCTTGTTTTTCTATAGAAAAAAATCCAAAACATGACATTTCTCCTTAGAGAGCTCTTCCTGCCTCATACCTGCTTTAATAATCTTTTTTGTAGTTTCTTTAGTTACAATTTTATATATATAAATTTTAGAATGGAGAATGAAGCATTCAATCAAAACTGCCATACGTTTCTATTAATACTTCATAAACTAGCAGTTTTGCTTGCATTTTTATTCTAATGATGTTCAACACGAAATTTCTATTGTCCACAGCAGCCCCACATTTATGCTATGGCGGAATTCTTTGTTCTAGCATACAAAATTTCTCATCCGCTATTTTGCTGCCATTAAATCTATTCAGAAACCCTAGTTTACAGCTCTTCATAGACTACTTAGTTTTCACAACTCATATTTTGATTTTTCTATGAACCTATTCACCTCTCAGCTTCCTCCTTAGAGGCCACAGCATACAATACCAACTCTTTCACAACCCCACTGTTTAATGCCTTCCATCCATAGCAAGAACTATTTGTACACCTGCCTCTATTCTTCCAATAGTCAGTTTACACAGAGGTTTTTGGGGGAGGGATGTTGCTCAAGTCCAAATAAACAATATTATTTATCTACACATCACTGATGTTATTTTAAAAAATTCCAAAAGGTTAAAAATATACCTATTTTTTATTCAGAAAAATGTTTTCCATATGATTAAATCCCAAGCTTTCTTAATATATTTTACCAAGTTGCTTGGAAAATCAATTTATGGTATCAAATTGATAGTTTCTGGTGTTACATTAATCAGAAAAGTTCTGGATTAAAAGCAGAAGTAATGACTAGGTGTTTATTTATATTACATGCCGCTCATCTCACGAAACATATCCAGGCTGTGTATGTGGAAACATAAATATTTTATCTTTGTTCAAACAATATATACTGTAAAGATGATATAATTAAATAAAAACGACTTTGCACTCATTTATTCAACAAAAGCAGATATGCCTTTCCTTCTGTGGAAAAAGTAGGTATATGCTTGGCTTTCCTGCTTGCTATTGCCCTCCCCAATAGGCATTTTTTATAATGGCCTAATAGTGACATCAATTGGGAGAGTTCCCCCCCTCCTCCATGCAGAATTCTTTCCTCTCCGTGATGTTTATGGGGCTTCTTGCAGCACAGCCCATTTCAAATCACTCTGCAGCATCTCAATGGGGTTTAGAGCTGGGCTTTGAGTTGGCTATGTTAAGGATATTGTTGTGTTAACCAACCAGCAGAGCAAGTGCACAGAGAAATGGTACCGAGAGCAATGAATATAATGCATACAAACTGGTTTAACAAAGTTTTACTTCGTAGTGGAAAACAACTGCATAATCTTTTAGTCAATCCAAGTCTTTAGCCATTCAAATCAGTCCAGAGTTACAGAAATCTTCTTACCATACAAAACAGCAGTAGATAATAAACAGCAATTCAACGCTGGTAACAAATCACGATGGGAGCAGATCCATCCACGATGAGAGCTCCTTCACATGATGGTAACAGTTCCAAACAACAGTTCCAAACAACAGTTCCAAACAACAGTTCCAAACAACGACTATAGCTCGGCTCCCTTCTTATATACAGTTAACACTAGTAATTATCCACTTAAGATAAGTGAAGTCAGCAGTGCAATGACTCAACAGTACAATTAGGATAATTGGAGTCAGCAGTTAGTCAGCAGTCATTACAATCACTCAGCAGTACAATTACTCAGCATTACATCTTAAAGACATAGAATACATTTAAAGTTATAGAACACGTATATTGCCTGAACAACCTGTTAGGCTTACACCATATCCTAACATTCTCCCCTTTGGACAGGCTAATAAATACCTGTTCAAATTCTTAAGCCATAGCTTTCGCAACACATTTTATGTTTAATTGCACCCTGCGTTTTGGTGAAATTATCGGCAATATTGTTTTCAGACATACAATATTCCAGCTGAACCATATTACTTTGAATACTCTGATGAACATTTAAATAACGAATATCAGTATATTTAGACCTTGTCTTAACTGCTAAATTTGTAGCCATTTTTATAACAGCTTGGTTATCCTCATAAATTACGATAGGATAATCTACCTTTAATCCTACATCAATCATTAATTGTTTATAATAAATTAAATCAGTACATACTAGTGACAAACAGGAAAATTCTGCTTCCATAGTGGATAAACTAATATGTTTCTGCCGTATTGACTTCCATCCTATTAAATAATTACCCAACATTATCGCAATACCTGATGTAGACTTTCTGGTAGTCAAATCAGTAGCGAAACTGGCATCAGCATATGCGCTCAGTGTAAGATCGCGGTTAGGTTCTAAATATAATGCATAATGCATTGTCATCTTTAAATATCTCAATATCCGCTTTGCGGCTTGCCAATGCCTATCTGTTGGCTCTGCATTATATCTAGCTAATTGGTTTACGCTATATGAAATATCAGGCCTCGACCAATTGCTAATATACGATAAACTCCCTATCAGCCACTGATAGATCTCCTTACTAAATCCAGGACTTTGGATTTCTTCATGTTGAAAATCCTGTGCCATAGGCGTTTTAGCTGGCTTCCATAGCTCCATGCTATAGCGTTTCAATATCTGACTTATCTTACTCGACTGTGACAGTTTATACCCTCTAGCTGTTTGAACAATATCAAGACCCAAATAGTGTCTAATATGTCCTAAATCCCTAATCTTGAATTTATCTTTTAACTGTCTAACAATATCTATTGCTTCCTTGTCAGTTTTAGTTACAATTGCTATATCGTCCGTGAACAATAGCAAAAATGATACTAAACCATTATTCTCTCTTTTAAAGAGACATTTGTCTGCTACACCTTCCTGAAATCCAATATTATTAAGCTCTTTAACTATACACTGGTTCCATTCAAACCCTGATTGTTTTAAACCATAAAGGCTTTTATTTAATTTCCAACAATCAGTGTGATCGTTTGTTTTAACTCCTAACGGCTTCCTCATATAAATGGTATGTCGTAACGGAGCATGCAAGTATGCCGTCTCCACATCTATATGATTGATAATGTACTTATTCTTTGCCGCCCACACTAGAATAGTTCTTAACGTGTTAGCTCTTAAACTCGGAGCAAACACCTCATCGAAATCTTTTTCCGTTTGAGTAAAGCCTTGAGCTACAAGGTGAGCTTTATGGGTTACTGTCCTTTCTTTACTTTATACACCCATCTACACCCAATCAATTTTTCTCCAGGTGGTAATTTAACATCCTCATAAACTCCCAATTTAGTTAATGAGTTTATTTCTCTATTCATTGCCTCCTTCCATGCATTCTGTTCCTTTTCAGGATACATCCTGATATCCTCATAACTTGCAGGTTCTATGTTAACCTGACAAACTACGGTTGCTTTATACCTATCAGGTGGATATCTTTCCCTACTGGATCTCCTAGGCAATACAGGACTCATTGCAGGTGATTCAATTTCATCCTCCCCTAAAACTACCTCCTCTTCTTCAACCTTAATAGAAGACTCTACATCATCTATATCCTCATCAGGGGTATTGTTACTCATTTGATGCTCAATGCTAACATTATTGTCATCCTGTCTGTATCCTGCATGCTCAAGTTTCTCCCATCCTTCATGCTCTAGAAATTTTGCATTTGCACTACAGTAAACACTAGTAGTTCCCTGTGCCCAAAATCTAAAAGACCTATGGTTTGAGTCATAGCCAACAAAAAACATTTTTCTGGCTCTCTGTTGTTCCTTTCTTCTCACATTTGATGGAATATGCACCCAAGCTGGGGCTCCAAATCTGTGTAAGTAACTAAGATTTGGTTTCCTCCCATGCCATAATGTAAATGGTATTTCACCAGTAGATGAATGTACCACGTTGTTTAATACGTGGTTA